ATTGAAATAGTGTCATTTGTAAATAAATTTATTTTTTATTCGACTAGCCTTGTTTTGGGTTATTTTAAAAAGATAGTTATAATTAATTTTTTAGTCAAAAGTTGATTATAATTAATTTTTTGTTAGAGAAAGAAGTGGGTTATAATCTGAGAAGTGGACTATAACTTATTTTCCAAAAGACTCCCAAAAAATATATAATTAGCTCTTCAAATTTGCTATAATTATATTGATATATTTTTAAGTAAAAATGAAGCAAGCAAAGGTAACACTAATAGTGCGCAAACACATGAATAAAATTAAGGATAAAATACGTATTTGTTATAAAAGATATGCATGAAAATATTGACTAAAGAATGACGTATGAAAGGGTACATAATTATATATGAATCAAAATTTTAAAGGAGCACAACATAATTATATCAAATTTATGTAATTCAATATATTTTTTTTAAATTGGATAAATTATACTAACATCCTTTGAGGTTTCTGTTTAATACAGATTCTCCTCACGTTTAAAAAATTACACTTACCCCCTATCAGATTAAAATGACATATTTGCCCTTTAACCTTTATACATATAAAATAATAAAATAATATTGATATTTTGTTCATGTTATTTCAAGATAAATAACAATCATCTTTTTTGATTTAACTAATACAAAAAAAAAATTTACTGATTTTTTTTAAATATTTTAAGTAATTTTTATTTTTATTTTTGTAGATACACCTAATCTAGATATATTTAAGAAGTATAATATTTTGTGATTTTTTTGTTAAATTCACCAAATACAAAAAAATACAAAAATTCAGTAATACTGTAAAAAATGTGAATAACGGTGTTTGATAATACTGTAACAAATGTGGGTGAATAGACAAAAAAGAAAAATGATAGTGGAAATAAAAAAAAAAAATTCTACTCATATATAAAAATTTATACAAAAAATACCATAAAAATGTTGTGATGGTGATGCTGTTGTAAATATAAATCATGTTTATGGATGTTTTGTTTTACAGTGAAAGGATTAAGTTATATCATTGTATTTGAAAATTTTATATAAAATTTATATTTGTATATCATCATTCAATAAGAATATGTTCGGATAAATTTAATGATTAGAAGTTATATAATGTAATTATGATGATATGAAGAAGAAATAGTCACTACAAGAAAACATATCAAAAAACACGGATTTTTAGCGACGCCGCGCCCCCCGTCGCAAAAAACAGTTTTTTACGACGGTAACTGCACCTGTCGCAAATAATACCCCTTTAGCGACGGTACTGACCCGTCGGTAATGAAACCAAGCGGAGGGGTCGGAAATGCGGAAGTATTAGCGACGGTAAATAAAACCGTCGCAAAAAATCTTTTTTTGGAGACGGCATATATCATTTGCGACGGAAATTTGCCGTCGCAAAAAATGATTAATTCAAACGGCGCCGTTTTGCCTTCTATTTGCGACGGTCTACATCATACCGTCGCAAAAAGTCCAAAAAAAAAACCCCCTTCTTTTTCCTCTTGGCTGCCGCTCGATCCTCC